TGGAATTTTCAGCCCCAGTCCCCTAACCTCTGATCTCTGGGGAGGGGAAAGGAGCTGGAGATTGAGTCAATCACTAATGGTCAATAATTTTAATCAATCATGTCTATGTAATGAAACCTCCATTAAAAAATACCCTAACCAGGGGCACCTGGGTGGCTCAGTGGGTTAAAGCCTGTTTTCGGCTCAGGTCATGATCCCAGGGTCCTGGGATCAAGCCCCGAATCGGGCTCTGTGCTCAGTGGGGAGCCCGCTCTCTTCCTCTCTCTCTGCCTGCCTCTCTGCCTACCTGTAATCTCTGGCTGTCAAATAAATAAATAAAATCTTAAAAAAAAAATACCCTAACCAAAGGAGTTGGGAGAGCTTGTAGGTGGAGGAACACCTCAGTGATAGTTCAGGGAGAGTCGTGTGCCCACGGAGGGCATGGAAGCTCTATGCCCCTTATTCCATATCGCCTACACATCTCTTCCATCTGGTTGTTCCTCAGTTGTATTCTTTTATAATTAACCAGTAATCTAGCAAGCCATTATAGCAAATTATCAAACTCAAGGAGAGGCTTGTAGGAACCCTGACTTATAGCCTGTCAGCTCGAAGTACCAGAGACTTAGACTTGCCATTAGCATCTGAAGTATAGCGGCTGTCTTGTGGCGCGGAGCCCTTCAGGTGTGGGATCGGATGCTAACTCCAGATAAATAATGTAGGAACAGAGTTGAATTTGTAGGACACCCAGATCATGTCAAAGAATTGGTATGGGGAGAAAAAAAAAACAAACATTTAGTGCCAATATGTGTGAGTTGGGGCGTGTAGGTGGTGCAGACAGTTAAGCGTCCCACTGTTGGTTTCAGCTCAGGTTGTGATCTCAGAGTCAGTCTCAGGGTGAGACCAAGCTCTACATCAGGCTCCATGCTCCATGCAGAGTCTGCTTGAGACTCCCTCTCCCTCTCCCCCTTCCCACTCTAAAGTAAACAAATCTTTAAAAGAAAAAAAAAGCGGAGTCGTGAAATATATAGAAAAACAAGTTTTCTCTTACCTCTCCCCCACTTAGATGAGATGGAAAGGCTAGAGGGAGTGGGAGTGGGAGAAACACTCTTCCCTGGGTAGGATTAGACTCTCGTAAAATCTTTTCCCTGAGGAATGCTCAGAGTTTATTTTACGAAGATTACTCTTCCCCTTCCCCTGCCAGAGCCACCAGGGAATCTTTCTCAGCAATAAGTTGTGAAAAACAGGTGGGGTTCCTGGAGGTAAAACCATAAAGGTGTATGGTGTCCCTTGGGCTGTGGCCCCCAAGAGTTCCTTACTCAGACGCTAATCCACACTCAGCCTCCCACACTCCATCAGTGTTCCTACCAGCGATGGCTCCAGTGGCTTCTGCCCCGGGGACTCTCCAGATTTCAAGGCGGCAGTTTGCCCTGCACTCAAGCACTCTGACGCACGCAAGGACAGTCATCAACTTCGTCTGTCCAGCTTTCTCTTGATGTAAGGGCAGGAGCGACAACTTCAAAACTCCTTGCTGCCTGAGCTGAAACCAGAAGTCCTTTCAGAAGTGGGGTGTTTATTTCCCCCTTTCTTATTTTATTTTAAAGATTTTTATTTATTTATTTGACAGAGAGCGAGAGTGTGAGAGATCTCAAGCAGGCAGGCAGAGAGGGGGAAGCGGGCTCTGGCAGAGCGGAGAGCCTGAGGTGGGGCTCGAGCCCAGGACCCTGAGATCATGACCTGAGCCGAAGGCAGAGGCTTAACCTACTGTGAGCCACCCAGGCGCCCCACTTTCTGAAGTATTTTAAAAACCGTACTGAGCTCCTGAAGAGTTTCCGGCAAGAGAGGGTTTGATCTTAAAGTCCACAGAAGGCACTTCTGAAATGTCCCTTGCCACGTTAGAAACATGAGTGTCCACATAAAACACAGGCCACAGTGCTTGGGCACGCCCACTGCCTGACCCAGGTGGAACCCTTCTTGCTACTTAGAGCAGAGAGTCAGGCAGCCCAGGCTTTAAACCCTTATTCTACCACTGACTGGCTGTGTGACCTCTGGCCAGGCTAACCTCTGTCAACCTGTTTATCTGCCAACTAAATACCTGAGTAACTGCTGCACGGGCCTGCTGGTGAGCTAAAGGGGAATGTGTGAAAAGCCAGCACAGTGCCTGGCACAAATGGCAGCCATAAGGTTCCTCAACCTCTCTGAGACTTAGTTTCTTCTAGCTTGAAATGAGGTTGATGAGATTGTAGAAGGTCTTGCACTATTCTTGTATGAAACAATTCATTTGATCAACACTGCAGGAGTAACTAGGGATAAGGGCAGAACCGGAACCCTCATTTACCGCATTAAGAGCCTAGTGACCTTTTGTCCAGAGGCCTTAACCACGCAGTTAACACAAGAGCTGGGGCTATCTTCTGATATTCAGATGATGATCAAGAAAGAGGCAGGAACAGAGATGTTACTTGGAAATTCTCCCTTCCACCACACATGCACATATACACACATACTCCCAACCACTAACATTAGTTAGTTTATTTTTTTAAAAGGTTCCAGTACAAGGCCCCAGAGTAGTGCGTGCAGACAATGCCCCTCAAGCTGTCATTGTCAAACGACAATCTGACAATCTGCTACCATAGTCTGGGACCTGATAGAGACCAGCTTCTCGTTGAGTACCAAGGCCTAATTACGCCAATGTATGTCCACCCACCACCTGGTACATGATGACTCAGAAGTACACTTTAGTATCTGAACAGCAAAGACATACTGAACTGCAAGTACAATGAGTAAGTGTCCTTAGTGTATTAGACATGGAAAAACACAAACAAGTCGTAAAAAAGAAAAGCCAACTTCATCTGATGCCTGAATTCCCAAAGTCTCTTCCATACATTCCATACATGATCTTAGGTCTAGGGAGCGCTGCCAACGCCTCATCAAGAACTTGCTCATTTTCTCATGAGATGGAGCTGTCTGCCTCAAAGGACTGCAGGAAGAGTGAAACAGTCACATGAGGTAAGCACTTGAAGCTGTGGTTGCAGTTCATAGGACATCTTTATCTATGCTAATGATAACCCATCTCTGTAAATCCAACTTTATGCTTGTGTGAATTCTGGGAAACGTTAGGGATAGAGAATTCTAATTCCTGTCAGCTCTATGATTATAGGAGAATACAGCCATGGAAGAATTAAATGGAAGAATTCATGGAAGAATTCAATCATATCAGAAGGTTTTAGTTTGGTTTAGTATATTCAGTGTTTTTGTTTTTTTTTTTAAGTTTAAAAATAAAGTTTCTTATAAGTGTGGTTCTTAATGCTCTTAGTTACTTACAGATTACTACCTGGGTTGATTTCAGGAAAAGGGTATGTTCAGAAAACTAGTCTGAATAGAAATCACTAGCTAATGAAGAGATATATTCTCACAATGTGAGAAAAGTAATTATGATGGAAAGCAGCATTTAGCTTCCAGAACTACCTGCTTTTTGGTGCAGAGAGCGTCATCCTCTTTGATCAGAGAGCAATGACAGACTAGCAGCAGGAAGCATACCAGCCATCCATGAAACCCTCCATAATGACAGCAGGAAGGGCATGAGAAGGAAGAAAGTTGCCTGTACCAGGCAAAACTTTAGATACCTGGTTGTCAAATTCCCAAACACAACAATCAGCAAGGCTGGGAACTTGGTTGACATTAGTAATCCACTCACATTCCTTTGTGAACAGAACCCCAACGCAAACGGTCCTCCACACACCCTCCACCCATATCCCATTCCCGCACCCCTATGCAGGATCTTTTCATTCAGCCCAAAGATCCAACAAATGCCAAAGAAACGTGAATAGTGTCAACAAAAATACAGACTACCTTTACATCACAGTTCTTCTAACATTCTCAAGACCAACAGGGGTCTTCCCGGAAGGTAACAAAATGAATCTCAGCCTTCACACCAGTAATCAAAGTATGACCCATAGTTAGTTAAGCGGTATAAAGTGACTAGTGGTCAGTTATTGTTCTTTAATCAAAAAGCATAATCGCAGGAACTCTACCTAGAGCTGAGCACACTTGAGTATCATGATGTCAGACATTAGTTAAGGATTATGTAAACCAAAGCACCAGAGCTAAATTAACAATTTCCCTTTCTGCCCTTAACTGATGAAGAGTTCAAGTGGTGTGGTGCTACTGGAATGTTCCTGGGTTGTGCCTCTTCAAACACTTTGATTTCTTAATACTAAACATTGGTAGAAAAACCTCACTGGTGCCCCAGGTCAGCACAGGGTGAACCAAAAGGGAAGAAGCCTGATCAACTAGCCCTGAAAATCATTTTATCTTCTGACTCAGGGAAGCTTTCACTCTCCTGGCAATGTTCCACAAAAGCTTCCTGATTACTAATCCTAAGTACAGACTGGGTCCTCTGAAAAAGCCCAAGTCAGAGTAATTTCACCAAAGTTCTAGAGGAAGGTTTCTCCAGGGACAGACAACTGTTCCATCAGTCATTAAGAGAAACATCTGGGTAGACACTCTTCTCCCTAGTACTACTGCCTCAATCAACTGAAAAGTTCACCATTCCTATTTTCTAAACACACCATGGTCAGACCCAGTGATACCCCTGGCACCGAAGTTTAACTTCCTGAAAGAGACAATCAAGGACTTTAACTGACAGGGAAATGCCCTGGTAGAACATCACCCCGTCGCCCCCTCTTAAAAAGAGGTGCTGGGCTCTCCTGGGTCTAAACAACTACCTTCATAGCAATACCTCCCCCTTCTGCTGCACAGGTGGGATGTACCCAGCAGGGCAGAGGAAGTCCCAGGTGAAAGAACCCATAGCCTAAGGGGGACAGACTTCTGTCCGACCACAGCAAGGTTTAAAGGAATCCATCTTGTCTGTCTTGGCTAAAGAAAGTGCCCTGTAATACTGCATAAAGACCAAAGACGAGGCAGGAGCAAATGGACCCACAAGGGCTCCCTGATACACTGCATTTAGTTACACTCAGTAATGAAAATTTAAAATCCCTTCTAAAGGGAAAACCCAATTCAAAAAAAAAAAAAAAAAAAAAATTAGAAAAAAAAACAGGAAATACAGCACATGAATGCTGATTCTTCCTGTTCTGGTTTTTACTTTATTATCCAACTGTAGTGGAAAAAACCTCCAAGTGCACAGCACGAAGCAGCAGATTCCCTGCCCTAACCTCTGTGTGTCCTACGTGTCACCCTTCTTCTTCCCTCATTGGGCCCACCAGCGCCGTCCTGCTCCACAGGCTCCTGCCCTGGGCCCAAAGACGCCCTGCCCACAGTCAGTGGGGTCAGTGGGTGCCCCCTTTCTGTTTGGCCAGGGTGCGCTTCAGCTCCCTCAGGTTCTCCGTCAGCACTTCCACCTCATCCAGGCGGCCACACTGCTTGGCATCAAAAATGTACGCCTTGATGTTATCAATCTGCTGGAGGAGGAGCTCCTCCTCTATGGGCTCCTCGCCCTCGGGCTCACTGTCACTGTCCATCTCAAAGGGGTTGGTACAGGTGCCTTCCTCAAAGGGGTTGCCAGGAACAGGAGGGCTTGAGGGCCTCTGGTGGGGATCCTCATCTTCCTCATCGAAGGGGTTGGGTGCTGGACCATCTGGGTTAGTGAAAGGATTCCCTGCTACACCCTCCTCTTCTTCCTCCTCAAAAGGATTGTATTCTTTGAGGATGTAGGCTGAAGGGCCAAAGGAAGGCTCTGTAGCAGGAGGGCTGGTAGTGCCCTCTGCTGTGGGGCTGGAGGGGTCTTCCTCATCGAAGGGGTTCAGGGAGGCCAGCTCATTTTGCTGTGACATGATGCTCTGGGGGAAGAATTCCTGCCCGATGGCTGGAGGCCCAGACCACACTCTGGCTGGCTCGAGAGTTGAGATGGGCGAAGGGGTCTCCAAGGCTGCACTGCTCTGAACCGAGGAAGAGCCTAGATCCAAAGCATAAGCAAGGTGGGTAGGAGGCTCCCTACTAGGCTCCAGCTGAAAAGGCCTGATTTCTCGGAAGTCTAGGGACCGAGTCCGTGTATGTAGAGACGCAGCCCGGAACTGCTCCCTCTCTCGTTCCCACTCCCGTTCACAAAGCCTCTGCAGCTGTTCCCGCTGCAGGTCCTCCTCCTCGGCCTGCCTCCGGGACAGCTCAATGGCCTTCTCTGTCTGCTGCTGGTCATACTCATCCTGCAGCTGCCGCAGGTTCTCCTGCAGCGTGCGTACTTCGTCCGTCCGCCCGGCAGCCTTGGCCTGTCTAATAAAGGATGTGATGTTGTGGATCTGCTGGAGAAGGGGGTCTGAGTCTTCACTCTGCCCCTGACTTCCTGACAGTGGGAGCCAGCCCTCAGCCTTTCTCAGGGGGGCAGGTCCCCCTCGAAGGGACACCACCTCCCCATTGGCCGCACGAGACGCCAGGTCACTCCGCCTTTCCTCAAACCGTCGCTGGGATTCCAGGTCAACCTGGGGAGACACCAAAGCCAAAGAGAAGAAACACAGTCACCAGGCCAATAGCAGCCACACCATCAGCCACCCCTACGGTCCTGCTGTCCCTGGGCTGATGAGACTCCAAATGCCCACCTGTGGACTATGGTACCCAACTGCTAAGTCAAATCATGCTTTTTGTTTTTTAGAGGAGAGAAGGGACAGAGCCAGATTTTCAAAAATAAATTAGTGACAGTAAGTTAAGGGATAAGATTTTCTCAATCTTAGATACACTGGCCGTATGCTTGTCTTAAACTTACTCTGAGGTCTAATATCACTCACCTACACTAGAATCTCACACAATGTTAAATGTACACATTGTTTTGCTTAGTGTTGCACATTCCAGAGCATTCTACAAAGAGCTCCCTGGTGTCTGGGTCCTCTGCAACCTGTGCTACAAGAAGAACTGACAGCCCTCCATGGTATTCTGGATGAGAGAAAATCACCAGAATCTCTGAAAGACAAATAGGTCTGACCTGGGAAGAAAAACAACTATTCTGAGTCTACAGAGGAAAGGCCAGAAAAGACCAGAAGAGAGATGCAAACTGGAGAGCGATCTCACAGACGACCACTTGGGAGTCTGGAGCAGCCTCTGGGCTCAAGAGGCTGCACGCATCCCTGCGTTTCACTTGCCTGTCTCTCCAGGATCTTCTTCCTCTCCATTTCCTGTTGTCTTTTCTTTTTCAGTTCCTCAAACTGTTCTCTGGTTGGCAGTGACATCAAACCCAGCAGCTTTTCCTGTAGGGAGTCACGAACAAGTTTTGTATTTAAATTCTTTTAGGAAGAAGATAAGCCTAATGAAGTCTGTTTATAAGATCCCATCCAAGCCCCACACCCCCGCAACCCCTTCCCTGCTCTATGTTTCTCCACAGCACTTTTCCCCATCTTATAAACTATACGTTGTAGTTGTTTCTTGTCTATCTCCTTCCAGAAAAAAAGGTTTTGAGAACAGGAATGTCTTTTTGCTTGTGGCAGGACACGCAGCACCTATCACATTGCCTGGTAGACAGCAGGCACTCACCAAGTGACTGCTGAATACAACACTAGTCAAAAGGAGAGGGGGCCTAATTCTCTGCAATACGGTGCTGGAAAACCAACCCAACAGGGCTTCGCTAGCTTGCTCGGTCATTAAGCCCCAGATATGGTTCACTGTGGCTCTCCCAAAGGGTGTTCCAGACAGAAGCAACTCAGCTCTAAACAGCCAGGGTTAGTCTGCCCATGAACAATCAGCTGTTTCCTCCCAAGGAATAGCCCAGGAAGAGTCCCTTGGGAGCTTATCCTGAGGAAGAAATGGCATGTATCAGTATGTCTGTCAGGCTACAGTCACACCAGAAAAAGCAGGAATCTATCAGATGACCAATGAAAGGGGAATAATTAAAGGATGATGCACAGAAAGTCATATTCTATAGCCATTCAAGCAGTAACTGTTTACTTTGTTTTTTAAAATTTATTTATTTGATAGAGAGAAACAATGAGAGAGGGAACATAAGCGGGGGAGTGGGAAAGGGAGAAGCAGGGTTTCCACTGAGCAGGAAGTCCGATGTGGGGCTCGATTCCAGGACCTAGGAATCATGACCTGAGCCAAAGGCAGATGCTTAACAACTGAGCCACCCAGGCGCCCCAAACAGTAATTGTTTAAATGAAGAATATGGGGGCGCCTGGGTGGCTCAGTGGGTTAAGCCGCTGCCTTCGGCTCAGGTCATGATCTCAGGGTCCTGGGATCGAGCCCCGCATCGGGCTCTCTGCTCAGCGGGAAGCCTGCTTCCTCCTCTCTCTCTGCCTGCCTCTCTGCCTACTCGTGA